ACATGCGATAGTACGTCCTTTCGCCTTCCGGCCAAAGTGTGCTCATGCATGCGCGTTCTTAGGCGTTTGTCGGTCATGCCACAGTAGTTGGCTGGACAGTCCAGACATTTGACGCGGTAAATGACGCCTGACGTGTCTGCAGCTGGTAGCCGGTCTTTGATCAGCATGATTAAGCGGCGGATGGTGGCCCCCGGTCGGTAACCAACGCCCACGCCTAGCGGCCTTAGCAGAGTGCAGATGGCCTATTTAAACCCTGTATATCTCACTTAGCCTATCTCCGATGATGTGCTCGAGCATGAATACGAATCGTCAGATGAATAAACCTTCTTCCCCAGAGATCGCCTCATCCTCATCTTCCATATATATATATATGCTAGGGGGCGCTCACCGATCGTTCATACGGAACTCACTCGTTCCGTTGTGCCTTAAGGGCTCTCTCTCTCGCAAGCCCAACCAGCAGCTGCACAGCGGCTCATGATATATAGGCAGAATGCTATTACCGACAAAGACAAGGGAGACTGGAATGGCCATTTCTGGCTTATTAGCCCTCGTCAGCCAGCCATGCCCAAGCCCGAAGTGTGGAACACCCGAGCCTCGAACTCGCGACCTGTTGGTTGGCGTTGACTTCTAAACCAACAGGTCGCGAGTTCGACGCTCGGGTGTTCCACACTTCGGGCTTGGGTATGGCTGGCTGACGACGGCTAATAAGCCAGAAATGGCCATTCCAGTCTCCCTTGTCTTTGTCGGTAATGTTATTCTGCCTATGAATCATGCGCCGCTGTGCGGCTGCTGGTTGGGCTCGAGAGAGAGAGAGCCCTTAAGGCACAACGGAACGATTGAGTTCCGTATGAACGATCGGTGAGCGCTACTAACATTGTATATTCCCGATCGAAAACCGACAGGGCAACGGGCTCGTGGCCCGGTGAGTAGAGGCGTTGACTTCTAAACCAACGGGTCGCGAGTTCGAGGCTCGGGTGTTCTACACTTCGGGCTTGGGTATGGCTGGCTGACGAAGGCTAATAAGCCAGAATTGGCCATTCCAGTCTCCCTTGTCTTTGTCGGTAATAGCATTCTGCCTATATATCATGCGCCACTGCGCGGCTGCTGGTTGGACTCGAGAGAGAGTCCATAACGCACAACGGAACGAGTGAGTTCCGTATGAACGATCGGTGAGCGCCCCCTATCATTGGCCGGGATTGCATCAGGGCCTGGGTAGGTCGATTCTTCTAGGTTTGGTAACTTATTCCGAACAATTCTTTCGGTGAAGAAGACGGCTTCGAGGGTAGGCGTTTCACCGTCTTCATAAGCGGGTGAGGAAAATGCAGGTTCACTTGTCACGACTGACCGGAAGAACTGAGAGATATGTTCAGCCCTATCCTTGTCATCGGAGGTTTCCACACCCTCAGCCGTTCGCAGCAGTGGGACAGGATCTTTGTTCCGTGTGCTCTGTCTTATGTAGCTGTCAAGGATTTTTGGATTAATCATGGCACGGTTCAAGAGATTCTTTTCAAAAGCTTTCCTATCTCTGGCGATGAGAATTTTGACCCGATTTCTCTGTAACTTATAACTGCTTAGGGATTCTGGCGTGCGGTCCGTCAGCGATCTTTTCCATAGCTTCCTCTTCTTGTTAACTTCCTTCTTTAAGGTCAGAGTCAACCAGCGAGGTCTATGTGTTAGGCTTTTGCGCATGATTGTGCAGTGGTTGGGGATGAGGTTGTGGACTAACTATTTGAACTGACACCAAGCCTCTTCGACATCACCGGAGAGAGTGGATGCCCAGTCGATAGGACTAAGATCCTTTTTCATCTGTTCGAAATTGCCGCGCCAAATATTAGGTCGCGAATCGAGCGGTTGTGCAGGAAGGGAGAATAACGTGTATTCCCACATGAGAACTACATGGTCACTCTGACCGGGGGGGGGGGGGGCAATTCACAACGTCGATGTTGTCAGACGACTTGGTGAACACAAGATCGAGGCAAGTCATTTGTTGGCCCTCTCGATCTCTAGTTGGAAACATTACGTGTTGTGTGAGAAGCAGGTTGTCGGAGGTACGCAGTAGCTGCTGGTCAAATGCTGCTTCAGAGCAGTCGGCTGAGGCCTAGCTCCAGTCGATGTGAGGTGCATTAAAATCTCCAACGATGAGAGTGCTCGGCCGCGTTGAAAATAATCTGAGCTACTCCAGCAGTTGGGCATCAACGTCAGGGTCATTTCTCGGGGGGCGATATACTGTCAAGATATCGAGACTTTGAGAGCCCGGTGCCCTTATGGTCAGCCATAATGCTTCGGAACTACAAGTCAGTTGGGCAGTTTTTTCTAAAACGTGCAAGCCGTTCTTAACAAATGTTACTATGCTTCCACCCCGTCTGTTTTCTCTGTCTCGGTGGAACAGTTGAAATCCAGGGAGCATGAGCTCTCTTTCATCAACCTGTTCGGACAACCATGTTTCTGTTATTGAGATAACATCTGGATGGAGGTCGTAGGTATGGATACGGAGTTCGTCCAGTTTAGAAAGTACACTTTGCGCGTTGGTATACATGAATATGAGTTTCGAGTTCATGCGAGATTTGTTTTCAAACCCGACACGGGCTACTGGGGTAGCTGTGCAGTCATTCGGATCGGCTTGATCGAGAGGGAAGCGGAAAGTCGTTTGACAATCCGGTCGTTGTAGATTGTCAAGTTTTTTTCTCCGTTGGTTTGCCGTGTTCTCAATTCTAGGACAAGTTCGCGGCGTTTCATGCTCTCGGCAGGTGAGTAGTCCGGCTGAAAAAACACTCCTTTATGGGAATGCTTCAATCGAAAACGCCTGGAAAGTATTAGTTTCGCCTGCTCATTGCTACGTAGGACGGTTTTTAGGGGTCGTGGTCGCGTCCTACGGGCGGCATTTGTACGGCTATCAAGACGAAACGCCTTTAGGACTGTGACATCTGTTGGTTGCAGCATTTCATTGAGGAGTTTCTGGAATTGCTCTAAGTCAGCAGTGATTCGTTCCCTGGGGGAACTGGTGGAGGACTCTGCGAGGCCCTGAATTATGTTACATTGGTCCTTGTTAAGCATTCCTCTGTTTTCTGCGATTTGGACGTCGTTGAATGGCCCTATTGCCTCGTCGAAGTGGACTGGAGAAGAGGAAGGGGCTGCCATATTGGTATTTATGTCCACGTGAAGTTCGTCCGCGGATCCTGTTAAGGCATCGTGAATAGTTGCACACTGGGATCTGTCAACAATACCTCCCATCAGAGGGCTCTGTGGAGAGCTTGACCCCCATGAATTAGAGGCTTCCTCAGCTCGGTTCTTAACTTTGTTGCATGGAAATTCGCGGTGGCAGCTAATTCCACCCTCAGTCCATAGCCATATGTCTTTGCGCTAATTGATAATCCCTCTAAGTTAGGCTCAGGAAATGAGAACACTGTCTGGGAATTATTAAGGTTGGGCGTCATCTGCCCCATTACTTCCACTTCTTCCGTTAACACATTTACATTCGTTTCATTTTCCAACCGCTTTTCGGGTAAGGCTAATATACTCTCTTTCGTATTCTGGCGACTTTTCCCTGTGGTGTTAAGTGTCGTCTTCTTCTTCTTATTCTTTTTTTCCTCGGAAGCCACGACTTGACTACTAATAGTAGTTGTCTTATTCACCCCATAATTGCTTTCTGGGGATTCATTACGATGGATGGCTCTCGCTCTACTCCGAGTTAGCCTCTGCGTAGATAACACCGGGCGGTCCCCTGAAGGAACAGTCTTGTGTATAAGTTCCTTCAGATTTCTTACTTCTTCCTTTAGTTTATGCATCTTGTAGGCTATGGTTTGACAACCATTACATTAATATCCTACCAGATCCTGCGGTGACGAATTAACAAAGCTTTTAACTGAGCTCGCCAGCCGTGCGTCGGTGGTGTAGGGGTTAGCGGAGCGAGCTCTAAGTTTTGAGGTCCCCGGTTCAAATCCCAATTGCGCGTTACTTTGGAACACTAGTGCAGACTCCAGCATTCTGGATAACTTTTCTATATACACAAAGAGCGTAGACGTAAGTATGAAGAAAAGGCCTTTATGACGATCTTTCGGTAGATAGTAACTTCATTAGCTGAATGGGAAGGTATGGTCGAGAAGCTTCCGAGAGCAAAAATTTAGACAAATATTTGTCTATATACTTTGAGGCGATGATGAAACAATGTCTAATAGTAGAAAAGCGACTCAGCCTTTGTTGAAACTTTGGATGAATTGTTCTTCAGATAATCCGACTTTCTGGGCTTGCAAGTATGAGAAACGAGGAAGGCCGAAATCGCAGTTCTGACAATGTGCTGCAGGAGACTAGTTGGGAGGAAGATACTGATGAGTCGAATTCAAGTCTAAATTCCGGCAAGCTCTAAGAGCGTACAGTAAGTCCAAATCTCGAAGTAACTAAATTCCTCGGAGAGCGAAAATGTGAAACCAAATTCGAAACGCGCTATTCGCGGAATTCTAACGCGTGAACATTTAACATTACTACACAGATGCCTTAACAAGAATTTCTTGCCAAATTCTCTGCGTGTGAATCCGGCCGTCAAATCTACCCTGGGATATCCAATTGCATCTCATTACGGCCTATGAATGCTTAGTGCGTTCATAACCGTTACCCTCTACCGACTTCATAAATTTCAATTTTCTAAAAAGCAGCACATGCAGTTTTGCCGTGACGAACTCCCTTCAGACTTATTTCAATCCCTAAGTGACACGATTACTCGTGTGTCCAAGCTCGAACGACAAAAGAAGGGGAGCGTTTGAGACGGAAAGTGGATAGCTATCTCACAGCAGACCGATGCAGATCAGAAGCGTCCGACGAAGGTCGTAAATCTCTCCTCGAGAACGCTAACAACGACAGACGAGAGTGTGCTTTACAAGGGAGTGAAATACATTCTTTTTGACTCAAACTATTTGGACTTACCTGCGAGCTTAAAATCCATTATTTCGGCAGCAAACCTTACGGAAAACGAACGGTTTACCATGCGAAACAGCACCGCACAAGCCTTAAAAGATCGAAGTCATTTTTCAGTACTATCACATGAAGAAAACAGTGCGTTCAAGAGTCTACGAATTGACAAAAGTATTATCGTTCTCGTTGCAGACAAGGGGGCACAGTCGCAATTTTGAACAGAATAGACTACAGTAATAAGATGATGTCATTGTTAGAAGATGGATCTACTTATAAAGCACTTTCAGCGGATCCTACCAAAGCTCAGCTTTCATACATTGATAAAGTTCTGAAGCGTTTAACATGGAAGAAGCAACTGTCAGGAGATATAGCGAAATCCCTGAGACAAAATGAACCGACAATCGCGAAGATGTATTGATTGCCTGAAGTTCACAAGACGCATGTCCCACTATGATCGATAGTATCATTAATCGGGACACCGAACTACAAAAATTTTGAAGTGGTCTTTCCAAAAACGTCATCCACTTTCGAGGAATTGTGAAACTTCAATTGAGAACTCAAATGAGTTTCTAAAGAAATTGGAAGGAATCACAAACTCTTCTGATGAAATAATGGTTTCCTTCGATGTCGTGTCCCTCTTCACACCGATACCTCTAGATGTGGCAAAACAATGCACAGAAGAACTATTTATGTCCTATGATATAGACGTTCCTGCAACTGCCGTGCTCGAACTCATAGACCTATGCTTGGAAACCAACTTCTCATTTAACCAAGAGTGCTATCAGCA